AGTTCAATTAAGGAAAAGTTAGCTATCAAAAGCATAACACTCTCCCATTTTTAATACTTTATAACAAATATGTATGCATGTATGAATGTGTGTGTGTGTGTATATATATATATATATATACATATACATATATATATATAAACACGCTTTTTGGTTATATTACATATTCTCATAAATGAGTTTTCATAAAAACACAAAATTCAAGTTTCTACCAGTATCAAATATTTTATACCGGTGTGCATTTCTTTCAAATGTTTAGGTCAATGGCAAACTCTATCAGGATACACAGATTGTAAAAAGGAGAGTGAAGACTTATGTATCACGTGCAAGAAAGGAGGAAATACTAAGGGCCAGAATTTGGCCAGTTGGGTACCGCTCCCTCTGTACAAAGACACAGAGACAACACTCGGGGGAGTCACTGTGTAAAGGACAGTCGCTCTCCATTACTCTGGGACAGACTGTGCCAGTCTGAATCCTTCCTCTTCTCTCAGTGGACCACTTTGGGCAGTTTCTCCACTTACTAACACACCTCTTTGGGTTATCTGTTAGCAAGTCTGGTAAAAGATACGATTAAGGTGAAAGTTTTGGCTAAAATGAAGGTTTGGGATCCGCTATGGATTTAACTTAATGATGGACCCTTTCATTTATTGCTTTAGATCATTAAGAAATTGCAGTATCTAAAGTCAGCCAAACATCTCATTCGTCAGCTCTGAAAGCAAAACTGGTGCTTCAGAAAAACCAAAAAAAAAAAAAAAACCCAAAACAAAACAAAACAAAAAGGGGGTCAGGGGACAGACTGCCTCTTGACATAAGAAAACTGCAGTTTCTTAACTGGGTCACTTACACTGAGGAATTTCAGTGTGGCTGTTCAGAGCTACTCACTTCGGGACAGGTGGTGGCAAGCTCCACTGCTGTCCATGGTCTACACTCCAGGAAGCGGTGACACAGAGTTAGCTCAAGGCGTTAGGAAGTCAAATTAAAGGCCGTGATGGCCATTTCACCCAAGATCTCATTTAAATGAATTTAATCAAGTTTGGCAGAATCTCCAAATAATTAAAATGCAGAAATTAAGAAAACGGAAGCAAAACCTACATGTATCATTTTAAAATGATTTCATACTTAAATTAAAAAAAAAGCTTAGAATAAATATAACTGAAGTGAAAGGTACCTCACGTTTGTAACCCTATTTTTGGCACTGGGTTGGCCTCTACATTAAACTTGTTACAGAGAGTGACTGACAAAATCAGGAGAACGATTTCTCAAGTGAGCGGGGCGCTCCGGGGCCGCGCCTGGGTCTGGCGTGGGTGGCAGCGCCCGTGTCCCCTCCCGGCAGCGAGGGGCACCCCACCGCACAGACGGCAGCAGCCACTGCAGAGAACCCCACCTTCCTGAATTAGGTTTGCTGAACACGGTTCAGATTATTGGATATGTCAATATGCACAATGCCTTTTAGAAGCATTTACTGAAACCCAAATCCTACTGCATGCGACACACGGTGTCACACGAGTAGTGAAAATGTTGTCCTAGTCAAAGGTGCTTGGACGTTAATTTTCAGGCAGCATTTTACCTTTATTTTAAGTTCACGCTAGGTAAGTTTTAGGAGAATGAAAATGCCAATAAATTCACTGACTCTATTTTAATATATAAAACTAAGACAGACACTTTATTTACCTAAATTGTTACTTTTATTTTCTACCCTACTCTAGACTTCAATTTTGCCTTAAAATTTTGCATTTAAATAAGGGATAAAATGTTGCCCAAAAGTCTAATCGTAGTTACACGTTTTGTGTTTTAACTAGATCTACAAATCAAAATAGTCTTATAGTTAAAAAGATACAATTTGTATCAACAGTAAAAGGTATCTTCTGGTTCTTCAGGGCTTTACTTCCAGCTCTGGCATGTAAAGACCAGGATAACCGGACAAATAGGCAGACTGCAGAGTGTGTTACACTCAGCAACATTCACAAACTGGAGGCAGCGTGAAGTCGTGTCAGTGACACCGCCGTCTGCCACTCACCACATTGTCTACCTCCTAACCGACAGAAAGGAACCCACATCCAGCAAAACCCATGACTGTGAAACCAGAAATATCCTTTACTAATACTAGAACAGACTCTAGTCTGTATCTAAAAACTACACTATTTGTGGCAAGAGTCTGGCCTTAATGATATAACTGACCCCCCAAAAAACTACCTTCAGGAAAATGGAAAATATACAGTATCTTACAAAAATTTTAAGTTACCATTTACAACTCCTCCATCACCATTTCTATAGTGCAGTATCAATAAATGTTGCATATCCTCAACACGTAAAACCACCTCAGGCCAGCCTTGATAAATAGCAGGAAAGCTAAAGAGTATATTAAATATAAAAGTTGCATTGAGAATAATTAGATTCATTAAAAACAGGCAAGTACTGTGAAAGGGTTATTTTATCCAGTATTGTTGTGCCCCCAAACAAAAAGACAAACACATTAAAAATACAGGTTAATGGAAATCTAGGAATTCAATTCCAGGTCTACTGTCTAGAAGCACATCACAGCTGGATAACAAGCTCTAAACTGTAACAGTTACGGCTTTTGCCTTTTTTATAAAAAAAAATGGAAACAAGTTTTTCCATTGATTGCATCTGCCTTCCTTTAAGTCAACCATATTAAACTAATTACTTAACACAAAATATCCAAACAAAAATAAAACAGTGAAAAGTGCCACATTTGCAAATTATTCTAATATATACTGTTACCCATTTCAACATAAACTGGTAACTTACATTTTGTTTAAAATATAAAGTCAGTGCTGTAGTATATCTTTGTTTCTATAAATAATGATTATAGCACAAAGAAGCCCACTTTCCCCAAATAAAAATAACTTAAAAAGCTGTAAAAGATTCCAATTAAGCTCGGCTTGAAAAAATAGTTTGCTAGGTCTAGTCAAATGTTCAACATTCTGAAGGTATTGGAATTGCTTGCAATTGATAGACAAAACACCAAGTTAATAAAACATGAAACAAGGATTAAAAAGTGCTGCATATAAACCCCTGATGCACCAAAGATTAATATCAAAGATCACAGACACATCTAATAAATCAAACTGGAAAAACTTCCAGCCAAGGAAATATAGCTTTAAAAAGGAAAGGTTAAAAAAAAGTTTGAATGTAAAGCAATCCCGTGATACTTCCACTATGTGGGGCTGTACATACAGATTCCATGATACAGTATTTCACATAAATGGATACTATATAACCTCCTTGCCGAGAAGGAGATCACATGTGCTATTGTAGCAAACCTCCCTCAGCATTTGAGCTGAACAGAAAACCACTAAAACACCACGAAGATGCATCATCTCTCAGTAACCCAGCTGGGATTTCTCCACCAAAATGGCTGCAGCCAGCTGCTGGGCGTCGGTCACGTGAGGGTTCCTTTTCATGACAATTCTCACAAGGTCGGGCGGGAAGATGTTGCACAGGTTGATGTAAACCTTCTCTCGGCTGTCCTGGTACCTCGGGGGGTCCGGCGGCACGGCGCAGTACGGGAGCCGCCAGGCCGGCTCCTGCGGCTCGGGGAGGCTCTGGAAGGTGCACTGCTCGTAACACGGCTGCGCGGGGTTATCCGGCAGCGAGTAGGTCTGCCGGTAGCCGTAGGCGTCCGGCCCGTAACCCGGCCTGTCCCAGCCTCCCAGCCCTTCCTGCCGCGAGTAAGGCTTCCGCTGCCTGGAGGGAGAGCTGTCTACAGCCGAGAGTCGGAGATGCTGTCTACTCTCGTGGCCACCAAGGAGAGCCCGAGGTGCGGGGCCTTGGCGCGAGGCGCGCCGGGGGGAGACGGGTAGTCGCCGGGGCAGCTGGACCGCGCGCCCACGGCCGGGTGCTGCAGGGGCACCGCCAGATGCGGGAGAGGCGGCTTGTGATGGTACTTTGGCTCTTCGAGACTGTAACTCTGCACTCTGGTTAAGGGGTCGTGGAAGTTCTGCAGGAACGGCTGGGCGTTAAGGCGGCTGTGAGGGGGCATGTGCTGACACTTCAAGTTCTCCTCCAGCTGGGGGTCCGGAGAGCTGACGTAGGACTGGTCGTTGTACCCCGCGTACGAGTCGCTGCTCCCGCAGCTCATGCTCCCTTCACTGCTGCAGTCAGAGGCCACCGAGCTCACCCTGTGCTCTGTGTCTAAGGAGAAGCGCCTCTCGGGACTTCGCGGGCCTGAGATGCTCAGAGCTGAATATGCGTTCAACATGGAGTAATACCCAACGTCAACAGGCGAGTCACATTTTGGATACTGTTCATAAGGCATTGGCGTTCCATGAGTTTTGGTTGCCATCATCATTGGAGGATATTGTCCCTGTGGTCTTTGATCCTGAGGTGGGAAGTGAACTCCAGATGGAAGGCCATTGCTTAGAGACGTAGTGCTTTGGGGTTTTGCGGGCGAAGCGGCCGGGATGCTCACCAGGGAGGGGACGGACCTGGTCTCCAGTTTGTTTTTGGTGGGAAGCTTCTCCTCTAGGTCTTGGTAGCCCTGAGTCCTGATGCTTGGGTCCGACTGCCTCTTTGGAGCACCTCGCTTGGCATCGGAAGTGCTGTCGGCCTTGGTGCTGCAGGGGACGCTGTTGCTTTTCACCAGCCCTCCTTCACTGGCCGTCTTGGCTGCTGTGTTTCTGGACATGGCACGAAGTTCATCAGCCACTGACCGCTGGGGCTGGCTGCCCCTTTCGGGGTGATAATACTTGCACTTGTGTCCGTAGGTACACTTCTTCCCTAGGAAGAGGAAGACCAGTTAGGCAAAGGACTGTCCTGCTGGAGCCCAAGCATCAGTTTGGCACTACTCTCTTAAATTGGGGAAGAAACAAAGGTGGCCGGGCTCCGAGCTACCCTGAGCCTTGCTTTGGAGAAACGCCATGCTGCAGTCCCCCCACGTCAGTGCTCCCAAGGGCAGCTGGAAAGTCGGCTGGATGAGCCACGACCGCCTCCAGAGCTTCTGCTTAATACCCCTTCACACCCGTGTCCCCAGCTCCTACCTGCCCCTTCTCTTCCTGTACGACTTTGTAATCAGGCAGGACGTTCTGTTCTGAAGAGCACAACGAACCGCCTTAATGTGACAAAACCATGCTACTCTGATGTGCGTCCGGATGTAAGAAGGCCACATTTTTATCTATCTGAAAACTAACTTCGTGCCAAATTAACTGACTCTTTTGGAACCATGTTTTAATTCAGGGAAATGCATTTGCATGGAACCCAACTCGGTAAAAACAGTTTTTCATGCCTAAGATGTTTTCTTAGATTTCATCACAATCAAAAGAACCACATACTATGCCATCCAAAATTTTAAGTGTTTATTTTTAATACTCAAAGTTTAACAACATACTGTATTAAATACTCATAAAGGTTACCATATGGACAAGGCTGCTTTTTGTGCTCAGGAACAATAGGTTTCTTCCTCAGAAAATTGTCCAGGCTCGGGCCGTGTCTCCCAAGGGGGTCATCGGGGGGCATGAACCTGTCGGGGACATAACACAACATTATCTCTAAGGAGCAGGTGGGTAATTTAATTCTGAAGACGGAGTGTGAAGATTATTCACCCGAAGGTATTTTTTGGAAATTTTAATCCATGTATTTTAATTCAACATTTATGGCATATTAAAAAAAAAGTACAGGTTTTCTTCATGAAAACAAAATTCAAATGTTTCAAGCTGAATTTATATTTGTCTTAATTCAAGTAAGTGTTGAGTCTAGCATGTTCCAGTTAGTTCTTCCTTCCTCTCAGTCTTGGGATTTTGTAAGGACTGCAGAGAATGACCACGGTGACGTCTTAGGAGAGCCTGATAAACACTAAGCCCAGGAAGCAGCAGGTGGGGCGGCAGCAGGAGAGGCTGAGGGAGAGAAGGGAGCGGCGGGAGGGCTGAAGGGAAGGTGGAACTACCTGAACACCTGCTACGCGTCAGACGCCTCACACATACCACTTCATCGCATCGTAATGGTAACCCCTGGACGTGTTAGTTCCCCTTTACAGAGGAACACACTTTTCTAATCGAGGCTTAGATGAATGAAGTATTTTTTTAATCTATGGCATCGTCAAGATTCAATTCTGTCTAACTCCTCTTCCATTCTTTTCTCACCGTAGTCAGGTACTTCTCAGTTGACACAGAAAAAATCTGAAGGAAATAAACTTATTATTTTGTCTGGAGTGTCTAACAGAAGCAAGAATTCATGGCATGAATATTGTCAAGAACTTATGATTGAAGAGTTTTACTACTAAGCTATGTCACTGTGTGAACATGAAATGAACGAAGTGTTTACCCACAAAATGGGAATAATGCATGAACTCTTAAGGGAGTGTCAACATGCCTGAAATAACACTTAGCAACTATGATGCTTAATATTAGGAAAACAATGTGGTAACATTAAACGTTTAACAGCAGAAAACAAAATCACTCAATCCCACAATCTTAATACAATTATTTTCCACTTGTGTGTTGCATGGTCATTTTTCTGTATGCACACAAACACAATTTTAATTTTATGCTTTGTCTTTTTAACATGAATATTTCCCATGTTTCTCAATAGCTTTCATAATCATAATTCTAAATAGCTGAGTAATATTCCACCAGGAGATGTATCGCAATTTAATAGCTTTCTTTGTTGTACCTTTACTTGCCTTTGAATCCTTGCACCTTGAAGTTCTAAATATACAGAAATGAACATATCTGGCCCTCCTCTTTTCCTTATTATATATTCCAAGAAATGAGATTACTGGCTTGAGAGGCTATTTTTAAGACTTCTGCTGATCCAGGCCAAACTATCAGTTTATATTTTTAACAACATAAGGCATATGCACAAATGTTTTTTAATTCTGTGAATTAAGTGGGTGAAAAAATATACTCTTTGTCGATTTAGTTTTCATTTTTGATTATCAGGAGGTGAGCTTTTCCCACGTACTGGTAAATACAGTGACCCCTGGACAACATGGTTCTGCACGGTGCAGGTGCACAATGGATACTTGGGTTTTTTCCCCAGTAAACACAGACCACAGGGCTGGCACCGCGTGTGTGTAGGGCCGGCTACCAGGCTACACGCAGATCTTTGACTGTGCAGGGGTGGGGGAGTTGGCACCCCTACACCCCATGTTAGTCAAGGATCAACTGTATACTTATTTCTCAGGAGACCCGCTTGCACATGTCATTTGTCCATTTTATTGACTTAATCATGACTAGAGTCTTACATTGCTATAATATTAAAAAAAAAATCAAAAGATAAATGAACTTGTATATAAAACAGAAACAGACGCACAGACGTAGGAAACAAATTTATGGTTCCCGGGGGGGAGGGGGTGGGAAGAGATAACCTGGGAGTTTGAGATCTGCAGATACTGACTGGTATATATAAAATAAATAAACACGTTTATGCTGTAGAGCACAGGGAACTATACTCGATATCTTATAGTAGCTCACGGTGAAAAAGAATATGAAAATGAACATATGTGTGTTCATGTATGACTGAAGCATTATGCTGTACACCAGAAACTGACATAGCATTGTACACTGACTGCACCTCAATAAAAAGAAACCGTATATTTAAGTACGCTGTCACTGCTCTAGGCAGACACTGAAAGGCGGCGTTCTGGCGGTCAGAACGTTCTCCATCTGCATCCTCTGAGGGTGGCCGGTGTCCCTCGGTCAGCTGCTGTGGGTCACTCACGCAGCCGCAGGAGACAGGGAGTGGAGGGC